GCACAGATGAGTTGCCTCTATATGCTTAAGAGGCACCGTTTGCAGGCAATGAACTCATGGTTATGTAATGCTTATGTGTTGTGTATTTTTTGTAATGTTTTTTATGCATTATCACGTATCCTATGACATCATTCGTATTTAATCCCTCCCGCTATCTACTTTGCTATGATAAATCACCTTCACCATTTTTGTAATTAATATTCCGATAAATATCAAGTCATTAATAGTAATTAATTTCAGATCCTAAAACTGGTTATAAATTATAACAATTAATATTGTATTTTATATTTTGCAACTAATTTTTAAGCTAAATTGTTGATCAATAAATAATAAATATGCGAATATTAACTAGGTCATTGTTAACACACACACACACATTTCCTATGTATTGATATCCGATTACTAACTAAAAAAGCAAAATTTTAATGTTTTCACTTAAAAATTCTGTAAATATTTTATTATTAGTTTTAATAATTAACAATAAATATATTTAGTATTAATGTGTAAAATAGTTTTACAATATATCCATCAATTTACGTCACTTAAAACATTTAATTATTTATAAATGTAAATAACACTATTGTTACACTAAATACTCACGCATTTTAATAATTAATTAAAAAGTATAGCACAATTATTTACATCATTATGTTTTTATTAAATTTTTCAATTATTAGTTATTGATATTTTTAATGAAAAATACGTTATACGAGTTTATTGGCCTTAAAAATACTATTTGTTTAACTATTTTTTATAAAAATTAATAATTATTGTATGTTCATTATTAATATTTTTCACATTATATTATCATGGATATCATGTTTAATTTAAGTGCATCGACAACAGTATGGATTACAATTATAACATCAATCGTAATGTAATTAAAATGTTGTGAATTTACAATTTATTAATTATCTCTACAAATACTAAACAATTAACAGATATCTAAGACATCGGTTCACATACTGGCGCCGACATGGAGTCCGGGGCCCGAATCGGGTTGAGTTTGAGGGCCTATTCATGCAATACAACAAATACTCGATCAATTCGTACCGCAAATACGGCCGACTGTACGGCAGTTATCTGTTTTGCAACAAATGGCTTATGGTTAACGACGCGGACCTCTTGCGAGACATTATGGTCAAAGACTTTCACATATTTCCCAACAGATATGCCATGAATTTAGGCCAATCGCCGCTCCGGAAGATGTTGTTCTTCATGCGAGGGGACGACCGCTGGAAACGGATTCGAGCGATAGTGAGTCCGGCCTTTACGTCGGGAAAGTTGCGCCAAATGATGGCCAGCATTGCCGGAATCGCCGACACGTTTGTCCAGAATTTAGATAAGTTTGCCAAAAATGGTTTGTATTTGATATTTATTATTATTAAAAAAAATAAACTTACTTGTTAGTTATTTAACTAATTATTTATTATTGTTAAAAGTAAATATTAATATAAAAGTTTTTACAGATATGCTTTTAAAATATAAATTACATAAAGGCTATACTTTATAAAAATTAAATATATTTTATTTTCTGTTGTTTTAATTTTCATAAATTTTTACAATTATCAATATTTCACTACATTATAGGCCAAGTCGTGGACATAAGGGAACACTTCGGGGCGTTTGCGATGGATGTGATCAGTGCCTGCGCTTATGGTATAAATGTTGAGTCCATTAATAATCCCAATCATCCCATTGTAGTCAACGCGCGGCGCATGTTATCCGTCGACTCAAGTCTCAGTAATATACTGTCAATACTTGTGCCGCCGATCGCCCGCTTCTTACGCCTGGACCCGATGGACAGACAGGCCATCGATTATTTTGATAAACTCACCAATCAAATAGTGACCGAGCGCAAACAATGCCCGAAAGGTAATTTTATTTATTAAAAACAGATTTATTAATGTAAAAATTAAATTTATTACCGCAGATAAAAAAGTAATAGATTTTATACAATTAATGATTGATAACAAAGTGGACAGCAATGCAATCATTGACGACAATAATAGTCACTCAACCGGTGATCATATGCTGACCGCCGAGGAGTTGACGGCACAGGGAATACTGTTTTTCATCGCCGGTTACGACACGACCAGCGCTTCGCTCTCTCATGTCGTCTATTATTTGTCTCAAAACAAAGACAAACAACAGATTCTGAGGGAAGAACTCAACGCTTTGGACA